ATGGATGGATGGATGGATGGATGGATGGATGGATGGATGGATGGATGGATGGATGGATTTTAATCGGTTTTGCTTCCCACTTAACTGAGCGCCTCTGTTTCAGGTGTTGAAACAAATTTGTTGTTCTCCTGCTTTTTGTAGCAAGAGTCTTCAACAGATTTTGCAGTGAGGTGTTTGTTGCTCCAAGTCTGAGGTTGAAAAACCTAACCAGTTTCAGAAAACTGAAGAAACTGTGCCTTTTTTGAGAAGTAGATCCTCTCTGCTAGCTGCCATAATGTCATGCTGTGTACCAAGCGTCTTGAGGGACAGGTGACGTATCTCTGAACTACAGAAACCCCAAAGAGTGCACAGGTGGGAAAAAAAATCTTGATTGTCCCAAAATTTAATCTTTATAAATAGCTAATTCGAATTAAAGGATTAAATCAATTTATCGCCCAACCCTACCTATTTCCTTACCTTCCACCCCCCACCCCCAACTACCTGGAGCATTACCCACAGGCCCAGAGCTTAATGGGTGAATATTTATAATCTCAGAATACCTTCCCAGAAATCCCCCAGTTAATATAAAAGATATTGAAGGTGAAGAGGTACAATGATTTTTGTACAAACAGGAATTACAAAGACTCAAACTTGGTGAACAAAGAGTTTATCAGGTACATGTTTGGAAAAAATGCACATTCACAGGTAAACATCAGGTTCAAGTGAGCTGGAAGAATCGACCCGAGATGTTTAATTCATGGATTAAAGCCAGCGACATTCACCACATTTAAAAACTGACGCATTGGTATTCACAGGCATTATTACGCTGACACACTACTAGCAAAACATGTCAGATCAGCTGAGGGGATTCTACATCACATTATTCAAATGTGAGAAAGTTTGAAAATAAAATGTCAGTCTTTACCGTTGATCTAGCGAAACCAATCAAATTATCGAGGCAGTGGGAAGCAGGACTTTATGAAATAATTTACCGACACATGTCGGACTCTGGGTTTTATTTTGAACTGAGAAAATTCAGTCAACTCAAGGGACAGACTCGAGACAACACAATTATTATTAAATCAAAATTTGGTTGAAGTGGTAGTTATCATTGTATTCAAGATCTGTTCAAGCAGATGACAGTAAGTAAGTAAGTAAGTAAGTAAAGTTTTATTTATATAGCGCCTTTCACAGAAATAAATTCACAAGGTGCTGTACAGGGAGGGAGCAGTTAAGAAACACCCATTCAAGAAGACATACAGACAAACATGGGGGAACAGGTGAAACCGGTCATGCAGCAAACACTGTTACGCCACCTTTAAACAACAGCTTGAAATACACAAAAGGAAAATTGAGTTAAACAACCTGCAAGAGTGCAAGACAGCCGGGGGG